AAGGTCGCTATGAGTCGGTACTGACTCGATGGCACCTAACAACAACAACAACAAACCACAACAGTTTTAACTGCTTTATATGCAAGTGAAAGTTAGAATAAGAACGTCACTGTTGTTGAGTGTCATCGAGTTGATTCAGACTCATAGTGACCTATATAGGGTTTCCAGGGAGTGGCTGATGGATTTGAACCACTAACTTTATGGTTAGCAGTCCAGTGCTGATTCTACAGCACCATACCAGGACTCCAGAATAAGAATGAATGAAGAATAATTTATGCATTTGAATTATGGTGTTAGCAAAGAATATTTATACCATGTGGGGCTGTAGGATCTGCACTGGACTGCAAACCACAAGGTCAGCAGTTCAAACCCACCATCTGCTCCTTAGAAACCCTATACCAGGTCTCTATGAGTTGGAACCGACTTGACGGAATTTAACAACAACATCCATGGATTTGCAGAAGAATGAGCAAATCTGTGTTGGAAGAATTACAGCCAGAATGTTCCTTAGAAGTAAGGGTGGCAAGACTTTGACTCCTGTACTTTGGACATGTTATCAGGGGACCAGTTCCTGGAAAAGGACGTTATGCGTGGTAAAGTAGAGGGTCAGCAAAAAAGAGGAAGGCCCTCAACAGGATGAACTGACACGATGCCTGCAATAATGGATTCAAAGCTAGCAATATTTATGAAGATGGAGCAGGACTTGGTGATGTTTTGTTCTGGGGTACATAGGGTTGCTATGTGTTGGAACCAGCTGGACAGGACCTCATAACAATTACCTTATATCACTTCTATCACTTTATATATATTTGGAAAGACTTGTGTTTTACCAAATAAGTGGACATGATAGCCTAGCTAAGTTGGCACAAGTCAACCCTCACGTCTAATCACCTTTATCACCTAAACTGATTAGAGCAGATCTTACTAAACGATGGCCCATGGGTCAACTACGACCACTGTGTGTTTTGTACTGATGAAGAGTAAGAATGAATTTTACATTTTTAAATGGTTGAAAAAAAGCTGAAAAAGAATGTTGTGTGACACAAGAGGTAAATGACATTCAAATTTCAGTGTCGTCAACAAGCTTTACTGGAACACAGCCTCACTCGCTGTCTGGTTGCTTTTGTGCTACAGCAGTGGTATTGGCAGAAAGCTGAGAAGCAGCAACAGACAGTGTCTAAAATATTTACTCTCTGGTCATTTCCAGAAAGTTCCAACACTATGAAGGATTTTCTCGTACCGGATTTTGTTGAGTGGGCAGTGGGGAGCCAGTGATAATTTTTGGAATATAAGAGGTACCTGCTAAGATCAGAAATTGTAGGTGATTTAAGAATCCAAGTGTAGAATGCACTGGACTGGCAGGAGACTGGGAGCAGGTGGCAGGACAGCTAGCTAAGGGTCTGATATAAGAGTCAGGCACTAGCTGCTAACGGCCTGCCCTGGAGCAGTAATGGTGGGAAAAGAAAGGGACTGAACTGGGACCGAAGTAGAGGTGGGAGATGAGGATTGGTAGAGAAGACTTGATGTTTCCAGACTTATCAATTTGAGAAAGATAATGTGTTACACAAGTTAAGCTGTAGTGGAAAAGGAGGGCAGGTACGGAGGGTGCTATTGTTAAGTGATGTCAAGTCAGTTCTGACCCATAACGACCCTATATGGGGTTCTGAGGAGCACTTGGTGAGTTTGAACCACTGACCTTGAAATTCAAACCAACTTTGCAGTCCTGCACATTAACCCATAGCGCTGCAAATGGACTCTGGGGGAGGGTAGTTGTTGTTGTTAAGTGCTGTTGAGTTGTTTCTGACCCATAGCGACCTTGTATAGGATTTCCAAGGAGCAGCTGGTGAGCTTGAACCACCAAACTTGTGGTTCAAACGACTTTGCAGTCCAGTACATTAGCCCACAATGCTACACCAGGACTCCTTAAGGAGTAGAAATTGAACTATCTGAGTGACCACTAGGCAGACCTGTCCAGCAGGCGAATGGAAACTTGGGCAACAGTCTATGAAGAACTGAGTGAAGATTTCAGGGTCATCAACATTTGGAGTCTTGGTTTAGCACTGTAGGATAGGCACTGAGCTATTAACCACAAGGTAAACTGTTCAAACCCACCAGGTGCTGCTCAGAAGCCCTATACAGAGTTGCTGAGTCAGAATCGACTTGGAGGCACATGACAATAGCATATAACTGAAGGTATAGAATGGATGAAGGATAGCAGAGAGCTGAGAAGAGAACTGGGCTAAGTTCTGGTGGAATCGCTAAATTAAGGGGCAGATGGAGACACAGGACTATTAAGAGAAAGGAAGAAATGTGGGAACAGAACACAGAGACCATGCCAATGCTCATTTTACGATTGTTTCCCTTTCAGTATTTAGAGAAAAGATGGGGAGGAGTTGAGGTGGAAAGTAAAGAGAATATTGTGGGGGGTTTTCCTTTCTCAAGGGCAATAATTCCCAAGCAAAGCTTTCTTCCCTCCTTCCTTCCTTCTGCTCTTCATCCTTTCTTTTCCCAGATTTGTGTTGTTGTTGTTAAGTGCCATGTGGTAAAGTAGAGGGTCGGTGTAAAAGAGGAAGGTCCTTATTCCAAGGATAAGCACTGGACTACTAACCACAAGGTTGGCATTTCAAATCCACCAGCCGCTCCTTGGAAAGTCTATACAAAGTTCCTAGAAGTCAGAGCCAACTCCATGGCACTTAACAACAACAACAACAATAGGGTTTCCAAAGAGCCACTGGTGGGTTTGAACCACCGATGTTGTGGTTAGCAAGCCAGTACTTTCCTATAGATCCACTGCAATCATAAACATAGAGGATTTCAATGAGCTAAAACAATTCAACTATTCTTCAATTCCTAACTCTAGTCTCTACAAAGTTCTCAAGATATCTTTCATAACTTCTTCACTTCTTCCAAAAGTAAAGTTTAAGAATCTCTCCTTGAGTTCACAAGGTTTATATCAATTGTCACAAAAGTTTGTTTTCCAGATAGAGACTGATCATGTTTTATTTTTAATCCCTTTCCAAAAAGTGGTTGTGTAAGATTTATTTGGAAAAACCTGAAACTTGCTTTCAGTGTAGAGATGCTAAAACAAATGGAAGAAAAGAGGAGGTTCAAGAGCTGAACAGAAAATTTCAAAGATCAGCTCGAAAAGATAAAGCCAAATA